CATTTTAATATTCACATTGAATTGGTCATCTGTATAGTACTCACAAGTATTATTGGTGTTATTGTAGAAGTGGGTATCTGGGTCAATGTTACTTTCAGGGTCATTCATGTTGTGCTCTGCATAGTTAAACGTTTTGAAGTTCGTTTTCTCAGCGTGAGAAAGCGTTTTCTCACACACACACATATATATATATGTGTGTGTGTGTGTGTGTGTGCAGTGTATGTCTTGTATTGCTTTTAAATAATGTATAACCTTATTACAGAAAAACCATGAAACACCTTTTGCAGAAAACGCACTTGGTGTGACATATAGATGGTAGATGTAATCCCCGTGCTTTATCTACATTCAGTTTGTGAAAAGAGCAAGCCGTTTATAATTATGTTTTATTCAGATAAAAATGATAATATAAAAGGTTTTACAAAATCTTGCAGAAATCATATTGTGTAGAAATTTTGTTAGACCTGCATGAGCTCAAAATGAGGAAAATTCGGAATCTAAGAGGAATTATTAAGTTAACTAAAAATTTGTTTTCAACCAATATGGTGACAGCGCATAACCTAAAGCATCAATGTGTCTTTTTAAAAAAAAAATGAAAAAGAAGCTGGTGAAGAGCAAAGATGGTTGTACTTTATAGAGATGAAATATGCAGAAATTTATTTGAAGAATTTATTTTTGCATTTGATGTTTTTCAGGTGTTTAAGTTAAATTGTTTGTTGCATATAGCTGCTGGTGTTGTAGCATTTTCTTTTTTAATTAGGAGAAGGATATATACTGCCGAATGTATACAGTTGGAAATTTAAATAAAACATTGTAAAATGTTTTCTTAAAAACTAGAAACTTCTATCTGCATTTTTAAGTTTGCATCACTTACATGTCAGCTTTCCATATGGTATTTTTGACTCTTATAATAATGCTTAATCAAATTTCTGACCACTATTTCATGCATAATTCTTTTAGTTAGAACATATTTGGGGGTCCTCCTATGGAGTCACATTACTGTCAGTACTCCGGTTATAGAAAATATTTCCTGGGGACATCTCTCATATCAATGGATCCTTTGCACATTTTCTTTTGCCACGAATCCACACACTTCTATATGTTAGAGATCACTAGACCTATCAAAGGTTTAAACAGCCTCCAACTGCCATGTGATAGAAACAAATTAGTTATTTGGCGCCTTTTCTAGAACCCCTAATACTGATTTTAACAATTGGAATATGAACTTATTATTTCATGTATTTCATCTATTTTTCCCCATAGATGGTGACTTTGAAAAATGTTTACCTTTTGTATTTTGGTCTCAGACTTGGAAAGACTCGGGTGTTTTCTCTATTTTCTGATAATATATCAGAGAAAACCTCTCAGTTGTTTCACCTGAACTATTATGCTGTTTCTCCATTTCATAGCCTTGAGCTACATCCATGAGTGTTAAAATCTGATTTGATGATAAATTATTTTGACACAAAGTGAATCATGGGGCAGTATGGTGGGGCAGCATGGTGGGGCAGCGGTTAGCATTGATGCTTCACTTCAAGAAGGTCCTGAGTTTGACTCCACCAGCCAGCGGGAACCCTCCTGTGTGGAGTTTGCATGTTCTCCTTGTGATTGCGAGTATTCTCTCTGGGTACTCGGTACTCTGGATTCTTTCTGGGCGTGGTTTTAGCTCAGTCAGATGAGCAGGCAACCACATGCCTCATGGCTGAAAGCAGAGGGCCTAGGTTTGAGTGCGAACCCTGGCCCTTTGCCGCATGTCTTCCCCTCTCTTTTTCTCTCACAGCTCCACCCAGTGCTTCCTGCATAAGTTCTCTAATGACTCTGCTATAGTTGACCTCATCATTGATGGGGATGACAGGGAGTACAGAGAACTGACCATAGGTTTTGTGGACTGGTGCCAGCAGAACTGCTTCCAGATCAACAATAGAAAAACCACGGAGCTGGTGGTAGATTCCCACAGGCACAAACATCCTCCACTGCAACCACTAAACAGCTGTACATTCAGGTTGTAGATAGCTGCAGGTACCTTGGTGTTCATCTGAACAATAAACTGGACTGGATTCACAATTCAGATGCTCTCTACAGAAACGGGCAGAGCAGGCTGTACCTGTGTCTTTTGAGGTGAAAGACCCACTCCTGAAGACCTATGACTCTGTGGTGGTCTCAGCCATCTTTTACGGTGTGGTGTGCTGGGGCAGCAGCATCTCTGCTGGGAACAGGAAGAGACTGAACAGGCAGATCTGGAGGGCCAGCTCTGTTCTAGGATGCCCTCTGGACTCAGTGGAGGTGGTGAGCGACAGGAGAATGGTGGATGAGCTGTCATCCTTGTTGGACATCTCCCACCCAATGCGGGAGACTCCAACAGCACTGAGCAGCTCCTTCAGTGGCAGGCTGCGGCACCCACGATGTGGGACGGAGAGATTTCACAGGTTTTTCTTTCCAACTGCTGTCAGACTCCACAACATGGTCTCTGCAGATGACCACACACGTGCGGACAGACAGACACACACATCCAATACACCATGATAGCCTTCGCCCAGTCTGCATTATGTGCTATATTACTAAGTGCAATTTCCTTGATACGACATAGTATTTTATTCTATTTTATCTTATTCTATTTTTTTTTTTGTAAATTTTTTGCTGCTCTTAAATTGTACTGTCCACTTTCTGCTGTAACCAAAAAAAATTCCCACGTGTGGGACTAATAAAGATTTATCTTATCTTACTCCAGGTCTTTCCCAAAGTCCAAAAGACATGCCAGTCTCATTTTCATGGCTAGAAAATGAGACTGGCATAAAGAGCAAAAAGGTGACCTTTTATACTATAACTTTTTTTGATCAACCACCTATCCCTTATGATGATACAGCCCTTGAAGATTTAACCAAAATGTGCTTTTCTACAGTGACTTATCATAAAACAGATAAAACATCTATGTATTGTCCTTGTTTCTGTCACAATTAGTCACTGATATTATATCGGTGCAGTTTCGGTACACTGATACTTAAACTTGGTTATAGAAAGAAACCAAAAGAGACTCTGGCTTTAATAATGGATTGGATTTATATAGCGCTTTTCAAGGCAGACACTTGGATAAAAGTGATTTGTTTCCAGTTTTTAACTGAGAACTCAATCTGGCTATGTTTCATGTTTAAACAATTATGAAGGCTCAAAATTTCAAAAGAATTCAAAAAGGAGTTTTAATCTATCTCTATGAGCTTTGGGGGGCTGGAACATGTGATATATTTATAGTATGATGATAAAATTTGGCATACTGTCAATAAACACATTGATGTTTACAAAAATGGTCAAATACACTTGATAAAGTCCAAAAATTACAACTTGCTGATTTGGAGGGGGTTATATGGGAGGCTCATTGAATTTCCATGGAATTACTCATTTGGTGAGCAAAAGCAAAGACTTTTGCTTAACATTAGGAAGTAAATGTTTTGCCATTTTGCATAACCAAAAGAAAAACATGTGGCCAGTTCTGACATCCCGTTCTGATTAAACTTGTACATAAACATAGAGAATGAATTCTGCTCTGCCATTAAATATCTAGCATTTCTAATTTGTGTAGATGTTAGGCAGCACTTACCAGCACCAGCCAGTCATCAGTATATGACTGCAATTCACATAAATACTCTTTGCTTTCAAAAAAATGCACAAAATGGACATTATTGTGAACATTGCTGTGAACAGCTCCATCATGTCAGTCATAGAGTTAGATCCATATGTATTTGGACACTGATACAATGATAGTGTTTTTGCAATGATCCCTCTTTGCACTACCACAGTACATTTTACATGAAAACATTAAGATGTGATTGGAGTTCAGATTTTCAGCTTTAATAAAGGAAATGGGTAGAAAAAGTCTCTGCTGACCCCTCACATCCTGGACATACACTGCTCAAACTGCTGCCTTCAAACAGGCGCTCCAGAGCTCTGTTTAGGAACACCAGCCACCACAGAGACAATTTCTTCTCACAGGCTGTCACTGTGACGAACACAGTTAAATAACCCACTGTTATATTGTTCAGGTCATATAACTTCTGTGACATGTTATTTCTTACTTTTTAAAAAAAAAGCTTTTTCTTTTCTTTGCATGCAGGAAGCAAAGTAAACTGGAAGCAAATTCCTTGTTTGTGTGCACAAATGTAGCCAAATAAAGATGTTTCTGATGTTATGACCATGTGCCATTTACCCATTGTCTGCCTCTGAAATGAAAAAGTACTGCTTTATTAGTGTCAGAAGTCTTTACAAAAACCCTCCAATTGTTCCATTCCTATATGGAGTATTCTTGTGTCTTCAGTTTGGTGGTTATGACAGGATACTGTCCCTCCATTTTACTCTTCATGTAATCCCAGACACACTTGATAATGTTGAGATCAGGGCTCTGTGGGGGCCATACCTTCCAGTACTTCTTGTTCTTCTTTACGTTGAAGATAGTTCTCAATGACTTTGGCTGTGTGTTTGGAAATACCTGATGGTATTGCATGATGGATAAGTATCTGCCTGTATTTCTCAGGATTAAGAACACGATTAATCCTAGGCTTGGATGTAGGCTTCCTCACATTAATTGACCAAATCTCCAACTCCATTTGCAGAAATGCAGCCCCAAATTTTCAAGGAACCTCCACCATGCTTCACTGCTGAAGCATGGTGTTGCTTCACTCACTCACTATTGTACCGCTCTCCAGCACTTCGATGAACAAACTGCCTTCTGCTACAGCTAAATATTTCAAATTTTAACTCGTCTGTCCAGAGCACCCCAGTTCCTATGTTTTTGTGCATGCTTAAGTCACTTGGTCTTGTTTCCACGTCAGTGGTATGGCTTTTTGACTGCAACTCCTCCATAAACATCACTTCCATCCAGACTTCTCCGGACAGTAGATGGGTGTACCTGGGTCCCACTGGTTTCTGCCAGTTCTGAGCTGATGACAGTGCTGGACATCTTCCGATTTCAAAGGGTGATAAGCTTGATGTGTCTTTCATCTGCTGCACTAAGTTTCCTTGGCTGACCACTGCGTCTACAATCCTCAATGTTGCCCGTTTCTTTGTGCTTCTTCAAAAGAGCTTGAACAGCACATCTTGAAACCCCAGTCTGCTTTAAACTCTTTGTCTGGGAGAGACCTTGCTGATGCAGTGTCCTTCACAACCTCACCTTGGTAGCAGAGTTTGGCTGTTCATCACCCAGTTTTAGGTCTCTTACACAGCTGATTCTGACCATTAGCATCTGTTTGGTATAACTGGTTGATCATCTGACTGTAATCCTATAAAGTCCCTGAATTTGATCAAGTGTACCTATGAGAATTGATGCTGGTTTGTTTGTTCGCTCATTTTGTAAACTGATAAAAAATAAACAATCATTATTTATCTTTCTGAAAGCATTCTCTGTTTACAACATTTTTTCCACACCTACCCAAAACCTTTGCACATTACGAGAATTTACTTCCATTTGTTCCAATTCCAATTGGAACAAATGGAAAAATGTTACAATTCATTTATTTCTCCATAGTTATGACTTTATCATAGAACAGTTTATGATAACAGTCAGTTGTCATAGAACTTCACAGTTTAGGTGTCAGAAAAAAACGGCTTAAATTCTTATATGAAGTAGTAAAAAAGAGATTCATATTCATTCATATCACTACTCTTTAGATTTTTAACTCCCTGTTTGACGCTCTGCACTCGAGCAGACATATAGACGTTGTAGTAAGAGCTCCGTTTGGGGAGTTTAGCCTAATTGACACTCTTCTGAAGTAATTAATATTCATACTCTTTCAAACTTTTTTCAATTTTACATTCACCGAGAAATGATATTTTTACGTTTCCACTGAAGTGATAGCCTCCACTAAAATAGGTGAACTGTACATGGTTAGAGAAAAATACTGAATTTGGTGCTCTCCGTTGTTTGAGTCGTGAAAAGCATCGAATCTCGAGATGAGGCAAAAAGTCTCTCCACCCTTAATTCCCATGAAGTGTTGGTACATTTCAGACAAAGGCTCGCTGTTATCGGTCTGCACAGATGGTTTGTCGACGCCGAATTTGATTGAAAACACAAAAGAGGACTCTAACCGTAAGAGCAAAACAGAGAAGAGCCGACCCCTCCCACCACCATCGTCCTGCAATCCCAGCAGGGCGCGAGGGGCGCGTGCAGCAAGTGTGCCTCTCAATTTCAGAACAGGGTTTGACTTCGTTTGAAGATCTTTTGTAGGCTTCTGATCTCAATATTTTACCCCTTTAGTATTTATTTGTTTACATTTGAAGTTAAATACTGAACTAAGATAGCTTCACAAATCGACCCCATTGCAATATTATACCTATACTCTATTGCGTTAAAAAAATATTAACTCAAACTGAACCAGGTAGAAAGATAGGATATATATTATATTAGAGAATTTAGTAGTAGAATTGAGAATTTTACAGTCATATTTTATTTTATTTTTTCTACCACTGTCTCCGGTAAGACAAAATAATACTCCTTCGAAAAGATATCGACAGAGTCATGCACTCCTGCTCAAACATCTTTCATCTCTGTGAAAAGATTGAGCTTTGTTATCGTGTAGTTATGATAAACAAACATGTCACGATAGCGTGGACGCTTAAAAAAAAGAAAACAAAACAGAGGCAAGCTATGGGAGACAACTGCAGCATAGAGTAAAACGGGATAGATGCAAAGCTTCTTTCAGTTGGACCCTACCAACATGGACCTATTAGAAGCTTGCAGATGGGATACCCACGCCAAAACCCGCGTTGAGATCGTGTGTCGTGCGTGTGAGGTTTATAGAAAAAGAGCACAAATGTTTGGAACAGTCGCTCTGTGTGTATGCGTGCGCGCGCATAGACTGGACCAGGAGACTGCTTACTCCGGATGCGACAGAGGTGCAGGAGGAGTATGTGGGGTGTGGGGGTCATTAATGGAAGTTGGGGGTTGGTAGAGTTGGGAGCTCTTTAACAGACAGCCATCTGTTCCCCGTGGCGCGTGCTGCGCGTGTGGTTCCCCAGAGTGCAGTGGTATTTGGTGGGTTGTCATGCCTATCCAGTTTATATTTTAAACAATAACAATAATATCACAGTTATCACTTAAAGTTGGTTCACACTTGGCAGGACAGATTGCTGGGTTATTAAATACTTTTAGACTACGGACAGGTAACGGACAAAAAGATTTAAAATGCCTTGTGAGTAAGTTACAACCTGGTGTCCTTTTATATTTTGCTATGGTTATTGTGATTTAATAAAATGCACCCACAGCACCCACCCTTTGTTTTTTCAAGCCCCCACCTCACTGCATGATGCGTTAGCTGTAGTGGGATACACCCTACAGGTAGAGACCTCCCCTGGGTAGAGACTGCATAAAAACGTCACATGCAAAACCATTGTTGTAAAAATCTAAGAACAGATGTTATTTGAAAGTAGCGTGGCTTGGGTATATATGCCTGGAGTAAGATTCTATATCCATGTGGACACTTTTTTTCTTGCATGCAAGCCTGGCCCCTGTGCGACTAATGCATGTGCTGCATCCTCTTGTTTTAAGTTTTTATTTTTAAACACACAGCTCCATGCAGAGAATATATGAAGAATATTGTGTCAGAATTGCACGCATTATATCCCAGTAAACGAACAGATTTGAACAGCAACAGGAAATTCAGCTGTAAAGAAAATCTTAATAATAGCCAGTGAAAAGTGAGAATACGGATAAAATGTGATTCTATATGCGTAGCTTGTTATATTTCACAGTTAAATTACAAAATAAATAATTCTATAGCCTGTATTTTCTTTCTAGGCATCTCCGAACACTGCGTCATTACGCACCAGTAGTGTTTTCGAAACAAAACAAAATTTAGTTCCATCAACTGTGTGAGAAAAAAATGAACCTATCTTTGTATTAAAACATCATATTTAAAATATGATGTAAAATGTATGGCTTAATGAATGGATATTTGATGAATTAGCATTTGACGCGTCAAAACTGAAAGCTTCTTTACGCACAAATTTCCTCAGCTTTCTGGCACAGATTTTGTTTGGTCTATGGATCATAGCGCAGACACGCACCGCAGCTACGCTTGGATTAAAGTAAAAGACAGATGGTTATCTGACTAAATTTGATGCTTTTGTCTTGTTTTCGTAGAATGTGGGTCCCGTTCAAATCGTTTTGTGCCGGCTTGGGGGCGTACCCATGACGCACGGAAACCGACGCCACGGACCTGGATATATACCCCAGTACTTGGCCGTTAGAGGCACAACTTCGCCTATCTTGGTTTTGAACACTACTCTGGCACAAAGTCGACGCTGAAAATGTCTCCGAACATGACATGCGAAGCTCTCCAATCTTTTTCCCCAAAGCTATCTCTTGCCAAAAGAAAAGACGCTCTTGAACTGAGAAAGGTAAGCAAAGTGGCTAAATTTAGTTTCATTTCCTTAAGTATTTTTTTACCGCATACTTCACACATGTTGTAATGAATGAATACTAAATTCTATGTGTCCTTTTGTTTCAGACTATGAAACCGCTAATGGAAAAAAGAAGACGCGCCCGTATTAACGAAAGTCTGAACCGCTTAAAAAACCTAATCATCCCCCTCACAGGCAGAGATGTAAGTTGTTTGAATTTACATTTTCAGTATGCATCACTTTGCAGATGTAACTGACTATAGTCAGCACAGCATTTTGACTCGTACATCTAACATCTTCTTTTCCTTTTTGTCTCCAGCACTCTCGTTACTCCAAGCTTGAGAAAGCAGACATCCTGGAAATGACCGTGCGGTTCCTCGGTGACATTCAACCTGCTAACGCTAAAAGTAAGTTAGCTATGACTTATTTAACCCTTTTATTTCTAAATGTATTAACAACAGATTAGATGAACATCAATCCTAACATTTATCTGTTTTTTCAGGTTCTGTGGAGAATTACAGGGAAGGTTTTAAGGCGTGCCTCAAACGCGTCTCTGTTCTGCTTCCCCAAACCAACTTGGATCCAGACGCACACCAGCGCGTCAATGAATTTGTCCAGCAGTCCATATCCGCCACCGTCACCCCAACCTGCCTGAACTGCTGCGCCCAGACCTCGATGACTTTGCCTCAGATCCATCAGAGACTCTTGAGCATCAAATCCAGCTTCAGCTCCAGGGTGCAGAGTCAGCAACGCAGCAGCGCAGCGGTCCCAAACCATGCGCAGTCAGACTCGCAGACTGCCAGCGCTGCAGTGTGGAGACCTTGGTAAATTTTTTAAGTGGTCCTCCGACAGCTGTAAAAAGACTGTAATGTGTTTAATGTTGGGAATAATATTGAGAGAGCATTACCTGTAAATACACACAGTGATTAAGAGCTTGGATTCCGTGATGAAAAGCAACAATTCATCGTATTGGTTGAGTATTGTATACTCGTTTTGCGCGCGAGTCTTTTGTCCTGTACAAGCTGACAAGTGTAGACAGTCGTGTATATATGAATTTTTTAAAAATCTGCATGTATGTATACGTTCAATATTTAGTCCTCGTCGCGGACTAAGTAATCAGGGGCCATTGAAACAGCCCTGTAAGACCCAAAGGGTCAGTTTATGTCTGAATTTGCACAACAGACTTCAGAGTCCTGAATCTGTGCAGATGAACTTTGTAGACATAAAATGTCTGCAGTGAGTATCTCTGTTGGGGTGTGTTGTATTTTTGCTGTTTACAGCAAATTGTATTGTATATTTTGTACAATAAATGAATAAATAAACTAGTTAGATCTCGCTTTGTGTTTTTGCTTAGACTTTCTGGTCTTTTAAAGGTTTATTGATATGGATCGTTTATTCAGTAATAAAAGGAAAAACGCTCTTTGGACCATGACTGTGATTTTAACTGTAAGGACAGGGGCAGGACAAGGCACGCAGCAAATTTGCAAAGCAAAACTGGCAGTATGAACTGACCTATATTACAGGAAGAAAGCAGACAATGCAGCACCAATGTGTACATAAAAAAACGGAGTTTTTTGAGCTAAAACGTGGCGTAGAGAATTGAATGCATTTTTTTACATTAATGAACAAAGTATTATATGACACAGTTGTCAGGCAGATGTGAACAAAACTGACGCCACTGGCTGGGACGCATTTTGAGGTCAAATGCGCCCACAGCAGGCAGCATAAAATATTGCTCCTGAATGGATAGTTTGAGAAAGTGCGGTCTCTGCTGCCCCCCTCTGGGCGATTATAGGTATTGACATAGCTGAGGTTTCTGTTTCTCAAACATGCCTTTCTCATTTAACAATTTAGGAAGCTATGGAATGCAAAGGATCTTCTCTGGCTTATTATATCGATAATATAATAGTTTGTTATTTTAGGGCAATTTGAAAGAACAGATTTTGCAAAACATTTAGCAGATAATTTCTACGAGCTCTGCACATTTCCTCTAATCGAGCCATTTCGCAAAGACACTGCGACCACAGCAGCCGGCGGACGCCGGGAGAGTGATTTCCCTTCACATCACACACGAATCTCACTGCAACACGAGAACCATGTCGGCACCGCAGACGGGCGAGGCAGCATCCCCCCTTCAGATATGCAGGTAGGACGTTTAATAAGGCACGTTTACACGAGTGCTACCTTCACACACATGCTAATAACGTGCTGCTGGTCGCCAAATGACGAGAACAACGCGGCTACCGGCGTAGTTGCGTGAGAGCTGCTGTGAGGACGATAACCCAGATAATCCGCTTCTGCTTCTTTTTATATTTTTGCGCAGACTCCATCGCCCGAGGCGAGTTCAGCCGCTGGTTCAAGATGTTTGACGTGTGCTGTTGTATAAAATACAGACGCAGTTTTTTCAGGATGTTTAACGTGCGAGCTTCGTCAGAGGTGCGGACCATCTCAGCCGCGTTTCGCAAGTGATGACCTCAGCGCGGTTAGCTCATACAGAACAGGCGAAACACGGCCAAGGACGAAGGCCACTACCATTTTACCCAAAGTCCAAGAAAAGTAAACACTTTATCGCGTGAAAGTTTATCGCGTGACTCAATTTGTCTGGACATTAGTTTAATTAGTCCGCACTTTGCCCCTTTATTTATTTAATCAGATAATGAACAGATGTAGAGCCCAGAAAGCAAACAGCCATCTGTGATAATAAGGGCACGACTGCGACCTATTAAAATACCTTTCAACGGCGCGTAATTTTCCAGAGAATAGGTGGTAGTACTTGCGCTCGTCCGTAGATGGAGCCAAACTTCTCTTGCGCACCTCTGCTATGTCAGAAATATATGCCTACATTTAAAGAAAAGAAAAAAAGGAAAATAAAACATTCCCTCAAGTAAAAACACGAAAAACGACGAAAAAGACAGAAAAAAAATGCACAATCAAAAGAAGATTTCAATTATTCTAAAACAGCAACATATGATACTTATATAAGTCACTATGACATCTATAGGACATTTAAGTTTTATAATCTTTTCTCATTCTTCACTGCTCAGTGTTCAGTTTCTGAGAAGTTTACCACGGTCTTCGGAAGACTTTCTGAAGCCAGACAGTATTAGTATTAATGAATCATAACTTCAAAAGTATTTCTTTAAACATTGGGTCTGATCCGCCCCCCCCTCGTGGAGGATGTCAAGTATTTCAGGTTTTGCATGATTGATGCGTTGAAACCTTTAGGTGACTGACCATGTGGGAGTAAGTTTCCAGTTACTGGGATGTTGCGGTAAGATGCTAGTAGTTCGATTGGATATGAACTTCTTTTCTGTAATCATAAAAAAATGTAATGTTTACAGTCATAATAATACAGTGATCATCAAAGATTATGGGATTATCTTTAATGATCACAGAAAACAAAGGCGACAGTCACAGGTTGGGTCAGTGAACATATTTATTTAAGCTTATGCTATAAACTCACACTATCTACTTCAGCTACACTGCCACAAGCCCAAAACAGATTTAGCCTTGCTAAACTAACATGAAAACCATGTAATGTCTAAAAGCAAAGAGCGAAGAAAAGAATCCCACCAACCACAGGTTGTCACAGACTGAAGGTGCACTCACTTATCGAATACATCATTCTTCATCATGCTTCAGTGCACCAGCTTCTAGATAAATCACTCACAGAATTCAGTATGAGTGCATATTTTCAACATTTAAGCGCTGAAAGTGTTTCAATCCTTTACAAAAGGATCAATACAAACTATTCAATCACCAGAACGTCACCTTTTGGGCCGTGTGTGTGGAAAAGTCACTGAGAGCCCAGCTCAAACCCAAAATCCTAGTGGTATACTCATCCTGCTCTCTTCTCTCCTTCCTCTTGTTGCTGCACTGGCAAATTCTTACAGAGTTGATGTCAACAGGTTCGTGAGCATTGTGCACAAATGACAGGGAGCAAGGCCAGGAAGTGCAAGTTTATTATGTGAACGTCTCAGCAGGCCCTCTGCCATCAAAGCTTTTCAGAAAAAGTGCCTATTTTAATCAATGGAGTGTAAAATGACTGAATAAATATTTGCAGAGCTAAAATTCAAATCATAAGGAAAATGTGTACTGCATAAAATTTTTTAATAACATGTCCACTTTGCCACTTTACCACAACACTATGACTGTAAACACCCAGTATAGTCCAGAGGACGGCTTTTTTTGTTAGTCATTTAGATTGAGGTCTTCCTAAGAAGTTACCCTGACTGATCCATTGGATATTCTGTCTTTGCACAATGATCTTTAACGTCACTGAACAGTTAGAAGTGGATGTATGTGCATTAACAGGAAGTTAGTCAGCTAGTTCTTCTTTAAGTCAGCTTCACTGACTATATATCAAAGATGCGCTCCGTCTGATTTCTTCGCTGCAATAAGAAGCTAAACAGGATCCATCAAAGCGCCCTCGTGATTAGTTTAAGAGTGCATTTGGAAGCGTTATGATCTTTATATTGTTGGCTTTCATTTGGCCTCATATCCAATATTTTTTGACTTTCATTTTGGCACTATTAAGAACTTCAGATTGCTTTTCTGCAACACACTAGGAAGGTATATTTTTTCCAACTGTTTGCTCAGAGTTCAGTTTGTTCCTCTCTAGAAGATTCGTACAACGGCTTTGTGAAAAGCTAAAAAATATAAACAATTTATTTTGTGACTTTTAGTACAGAATAGGAGAACACCAAGTGGTAAGACAACATTCTTTGACTTACTGTTTATGCATACAGCGATATGGATCTGTGAGTGTGTTTGGCAAATGCCTGTCTCACATGGTAATGTAAGTATGCTTGCAGTTAAACACTAGGATGCAAAATCACTTTCACACCTGTGCTGTGATCTTGTTCTGTGGACAGCCGGGAGAGAAATGACACTGAGACCCCAGTT